AATATATCTATACATTTATAATAATTGATTAGGTTAATCATTAATATATCTATACATAAATAAATTTGTATTAGGTTAATCATTAATATATCTATACATAAATAGATTTGTATTAGGTTAATTATTAATATATCTATACATAAATAGATTTATATTAATTTAAGAATAATAATAAATATATATTAATAAAATTTATTAAATATTAGTGAATATACATTTAGAACTATAATAATTTATATTATATAAATTTTATTTAATGTTAATAATGTTATATTTAAATAATTATAAGTAATTAATAAAATATTTATAATTTATATTTAATAAATTTATTTAATTTTAATAGTAGAATAAAAATNTATACATAAATAAATTTGTATTAGGTTATTAATTATTAATATATCTATACATAAATAGATTTATATTAATTTAAGAATAATAATAAATATATATTAATAAAATTTATTAAATATTAGTGAATATACATTTAGAACTATAATAATTTATATTATATAAATTTTATTTAATGTTAATAATGTTATATTTAAATAATTATAAGTAATTAATAAAATATTAATTTATATTTAATAAATTTATTTAATTTTAATAGTAGAATAAAAATAAATAATAATGATTTAATTATTAAAATTAAGATTTAATTTATTAAAAATAAAATTTTTAATTAATAATTTTTATGATTTATTTAAATTTTATATAGGAAAATAGTTAAAAATTATTAAACCAAATGCTATTTTTTTATCATAAAATTAGGGCTATGCCCTAATTAAAAAAAAAGAAAAAGAATAGTTATATAGTATTAATATATAATGGATACCTATATCAATAATATTTCATATAGTTGTATTAGGTTAATCATTAATATATCTATACATAAATAAATTTGTATTAGGTTAATCATTAATATATCTATACATAAATAGATTTGTATTAGGTTAATTATTAATATATCTATACATAAATAGATTTATATTAATTTAAGAATAATAATAAATATATATTAATAAAATTTATTAAATATTAGTGAATATACATTTAGAACTATAATAATTTATATTATATAAATTTTATTTAATGTTAATAATGTTATATTTAAATAATTATAAGTAATTAATAAAATATTAATTTATATTTAATAAATTTATTTAATTTTAATAGTAGAATAAAAATAAATAATAATGATTTAATTATTAAAATTAAGATTTAATTTATTAAAAATAAAATTTTTAATTAATAATTTTTATGATTTATTTAAATTTTATATAGGAAAATAGTTAAAAATTATTAAACCAAATGCTATTTTTTTATTAAATAA